GCTAAAACAAGGACTGGTCGGCTCGGAGTCAGTATACTGTGTCTGAGTGGGGTATTCATGTTGAACTGCGCATGGTATCTCAGTGAGCTAGCACTATAAATCGGCATCAGTCCGGACTAGTACAAGCAGCCACACATACACGCGAGCATGCACGTCGCTATATAAGTGCAATAATCTTGGACGCGACGTTAAAAGCCATTTCACCTCACCTCACCACTGCTGAAAGCTGAGTCGATGGCACGATTCCACCTTCGTCACTATCAGATAGTGATGACACCAGGTGTTTATGAATCACTATCAGATAGTGATGACACCAGGTGTTTATGAATCACTATCAGATAGGGATGACACCAGGTGTTTATGAATCACTATCAAATAGGGATGACACCAGGTGTTTATGAATCACTATCAGATAGGGATGACACCAGGTGTTTATGAATCACTATCAAATAGGGATGACACCAGGTGTTTATGAATCAATATCAAATAGGGATGACACCAGGTGTTTATGAATCACTATCAAATAGGGATGACACCAGGTGTTTATGAATCACTATCAGATAGAGATGACACCAGGTGTTTATGAATCACTATCAAATAGGGATGACACCAGGTGTTTATGAATCACTATCAAATAGGGATGACACCAGGTGTTTATGAATCACTATCACATAGGGATGACACCAGGTGTTTATGAATCACTATCAGATAGGGACGACACCAGGTGTTTATGAATCACTATCAAATAGGGATGACACCAGGTGTTTATGAATCACTATCAAATAGGGATGACACCAGGTGTTTATGAATCACTATCAGATAGGGATGACACCAGGTGTTTATGAATCACTATCACATAGGGATGACACCAGGTGTTTATGAATCACTATCAGATAGGGACGACACCAGGTGTTTATGAATCACTATCAAATAGGGATGACACCAGGTGTTTATGAATCACTATCAGATAGGGATGACACCAGGTGTTTATGAATCACTATCAGATAGGGATGACACCAGGTGTTTATGAATCACTATCAAATAGGGATGACACCAGGTGTTTATGAATCACTATCAAATAGGGATGACACCAGGTGTTTGTGAATCACTATCAAATAGGGATGACACCAGGTGTTTGTGAATCACTATCAAATAGGGATGACACCAGGTGTTTGTGAATCACTATCAAATATTGATGACACCAGGTTTTTGTGAATCACTATCAAATATTGATGACACCAGGTGTTTGTGAATCACTATCAAATATTGATGACACCAGGTGTTTGTGAATCACTATAAAATATTGATGACACCAGGTGTTTGTGAATCACTATCAAATATTGATGACACCAGGTGTCTGTGAATCACTATCAAATAGGGATGACACCAGGTGTTTATGAATCACTATCAAATATTGATGACACCAGGTGTTTGTGAAAAGTTAAGCGTATCCTGCCCTACTGGTGGCATCCGTCACAAACACATGCAAAGGCAAGAAACAACAAAAGAAGATAACACCCCCAAAATAGACATTTTATATGTCCATATATTTGATTTATCATCAAAAACTTGCGTTTGTTTGTGTTCGATCAAGTAATACCTCCTGAGAGATGTAACTACAATGAAATTGAACCACAATGCTTTGCAGATTATTAGGACGTTATCGATTACCATGGCATCACAATCAAATGAATTCACTAATTCACTTATTCATCTGCCACTGTAGCTGGTAACCTGTTTTTTTACACTCCCGACGCTGAAGATTGCAAACTGAACAAGTTGGAACGATAATTTTGGGTGATAAACAGAAGTTCACTCGTCAAGATTGAACTTTTATTGACTCATATTTCATATCAAAAGACGCTTAGGTGAGATCCCCGACGTCCTTGAATACCCTCCCTATCAAGGATTGTTGTTAGAGACCGTATTTCTTTCGGCCCTGCTTCCCGACACACACACACACACACACACACTCGCTCATTTTTTCAAGACATCGTACTTGTCCAGCGATCAAATATTTGGGGGCTAAAACCTGAGCATTTTTTTGTTTTTCGAGTAATTCTAAAACAATTTTGAAAAAAAAAACAGTCCCGAAAATCAAATGGTCGGTTCCTAATGTTGACATGAGTAGTACTCTGTAGTAACCATGTCAGCGAGCCTGACCACCCGATCCCGTCAGTCGCCTCTTTCGACAAGCACAGTCGCCTCTCGTGGCAAACATGGGATGCTGAATACGAGTTCTCTACCCGGATCTTCACGGGTCTGACATGTATGAGGCAGATACGACAATTAAATGTTCACATCCGACTACTTTTTATGGACTTAATGTATGAAAATAATATTGAAAGTCTGAGTTGTTCAGAAACACATATGTGTGGACGTGTGAAATTCACACAATATTGATTGTTTGAATCTGCAACCTAAAGCAATGGCCACGATTGAGAGTGTGGCATGTCATAAATTTCATAGAAAATTCACCATCGTTTGAGATGATCCAAATTCGCAACGTAATGCAGGTATCGACGGATAAAGTTAACCCTGAAACTGACCATGCATGACTAAATATACAGGCCGCATGACACAGCACAAGCGACACCATGCTGACAAAGGAAACTGTCACAGTAGGTAAAGCCTAGTGTATCACACCAGCTACTGAAGCAACGTAATGACCAGTGACTCACGGGGGATGACATCTTGCCAGCTGTTCCGCTTGACAAAGCCTCTGTGTGCTTGTAATTAGGTGATGTCTTGAGGTTGGTAAAGTGAGTGGAGAGTGTTTGTTTGTTTATTGTTGTACGCTGTACTTACCAATATTCCGGTATATGACAGCGCTCTGTAAATAATCGAGTCTGGACCAGACAAGCCAGTGATTGATATCATGAGCATCGATCAACGCAATTGGGATACGATGACATGTATCAACCAAGTCACCCGATCCCGTTAGTCGCCTCTTACGGCGAGCATAGTCGCGTCTTACAGCAAATATGGATTGCTTTTCTCACCTTGCATTGATCTTCACTGGTTTGGGTGGAGGGAGAGTGAGGGGGTGAGAAGTGAGGGGGTGAGAGGAGAGTGAGTGAGGGGGTGAGTGGAGAGAGTGAGGGAGTGAGGGGGGAGTGAGTGAGGGGGTGAGTGGACACCCAACAGTACTCATCCGGAAAGTGGGGGTGTCTGAAACGAGGGGTGTCCCGAATGAGGATTATCTTTGTGTCGTTTTTTTCCCCACAAGATTATGAATCTACGTGTCTCAGCACCATCCCCGTGCTCAGGGTTTCATATATATATTTAAATATTTAAAAAACGTCAACGCCAGATAATAATCCTGCCGATCGGCCGAAACAAATTCCAACGTGCGTCAAACAGAAACTAAATAATGTACAAACAGGGAAAAAAGACGATTTAACAAATCAATTTAAAAAAACTGTTTCAACATCACTGCTAACCTTCCTCGCGTGTTAACAAACAGACCCGTGATGTTCCGGGGTAGAATTGTTTTTCAGCAACCCATGGATGTCGAAAAAGGCGACTAACGGGATCGGGTGGTCAGACTCGCTGACTTGGCGATGCATGTCATCGGTCCCAATTGCGTGGATGTCAATCACTGGATTGTCTGATCCAGACTCGATTATTAACAGACCGCCGTCATATAGTCGGAATATTGCTGAGTGCGGCGTAAAACAACAAACAAACAAATGTTAGCAAACAACAGCACCTGTTGCAACGGTTTTTCATCTCGTTAACTACAGCTTCAAACTTGGATCGCTGCTTCTAAAGCTAGGTAAAGTGTGTATTAAGATAGGAGAAATGAAGACGTTTTACAAATATTTTATCAAGTTACAAGCCACATATTAAGGATTGGAAATAGGGAATATTAAAAATTAACAGGCCACGTTCCCGTATCAAATATGCCAAGGATCAAACCGACAACGCACATCCGACAAAATCCTGTAGCAGAAGCTCTGGGAGTACTGGTCAGATAGACAAAATAAATTTAAAGCTTTGACACCTTTATCTTTATCTGCTGTTTATCATCTAATCACATCAACTATAGATACATTTGTGGCATACCAGCATCAGGTAAGCTATTATTCTCACTAAACATCACTCATTAACACATTTATCATCAATGCCTCAGTCAAACTAAATCATATAATTCTGTCACGATAGCGCCACCAAAGATCACAATAACGAATTTACCGTCAGATCAATCAGTAAATGAGACAATCTGATGTAGCTGGAATGGGTATAAATACGGACTACAGACAGTCACAAATCTATGACTATCTAATTAACTGATTGTTTATTCACACAGGTATGGACGTTTTGAACTGCGGCATGGTATCTCAGTGGGCTAGCACTATAAATCGGCATCAGTCCGGACGAGTGCAAGCAGCCACACGCACGCACGCACGCACGCACGCACGCACGCACGCATGTATGCACGTCGTTATATAATTCCAACAATTATTATTATTATATATATTATACTTGCAAACATGCTCTGATTATTGCTTGTAAACATTCTATTGTGGACTGATTATGTATCGATCCAGTGGCTGTCTTATAAACATATTGTTTGTTCACTCAGGTCTCGCCTTGTGTTGTGTAATTGTTTGTTGTTGTTGTTTTTTGTTTAATAGGGATACGATGACATGCATCAACAAAGTCAGCGAGCCTGACCACCCGATTCCGTTAGTCGCCCTAAAGACAAGCATAGTCGTCTTTTACAGCAAGCATGGGTTGCTGAAAACCTATTTCTACCCCGGATCTTCACAGGTCGTGTTGTTGTGTGATTTGGTTGAGTGGAGTACCTCTGTTAAGCGAGCTTATTCCCCAACTCTCGCTTTTATATATGTGTTTTGTAATCCACAAGGTTGTAACATCACGCTTACACATATTCTAACTATGGAACAACTCCACAACAAAGCAAAACCCAATGGGTCAACACCGTCCGTATCAACACACATTGTCAAGAGATAGATATTAAACATTAATCCTACCTTGCCAAACTGTTCTGTTTATCCTTTGGCTGTAAACACAAATAAACACTAAGCAGTATACTCGGAAAACATGAGATCTCCTTCCACAACGTGATAATCCCAAACAGAAAATGTTCAATCTTTTCCGTGCAAGATAAGACACACCATACGGGAGACGAAGCACAACGGGATCATAGATATTTGTAATACCGAATCAGGGCTGGTTGTCAATAGCGTTTTGAGGGGACAGTATACGTAAACCGTTCAGCTCTAATTCTCACAAGCCTAAAAATAGCGCCTCGGTGTCGGGTATGACTTGGAGTGAAGGACAAGTGTCAGCAGTTATGATGGTGGGTATCATCAATGCTGGGATGTCACCCTCTGTATTTCATTGTGCTGCGTGACAATTGTAAAAATAGTTTCTGGGAGGGCGGGATGTGTGTCTGGCTGTGTGGGGGAGGGGGTATGGTTTGGGATAGAGGGAACGAAATGAGAGTAATACATTTTAATGGAGGCCATGCATGTTGTTACAATTTATTGTAATGCTAAACGTGAGTGAGTGAGTGAGTTTGATTTTACGCCGCTTTTAGCAATATTCCAGCAATATCACGGCGGGGGACACCAGAAATGGGCTTCACACATTGTACCCATGTCGGGAATCGAACCCGGGTCTTCGGCGTGACGAGCGAACGCTTTAACCATTAGGCTACCCGACCGCCCCGTAAAGCTAAAAGACAATGCGGCGCATAGCTCATAGAATATAGTTCATGCATGACTTTTAATTCAATAATATGAATCCATAATGTTAATATAGCATGACAGCATACGCGAAGTAACGCGTAAAGCGGGAAGTTCTCTACTTGCCCCAATGTGATACCACACTGTGTCCTTGTTTTAGCCGCTTAATGCCGAGAGACAGGCAGGGTAACAAGAAGCATTCTCTCTTAATGACTCTTGAGTGAGTGAGTATGGTTTTACGCCGCTTTTAGCAACAGTCAAGCAATATCACGGCGGGGGACACCAGATATGGGCTTCACACATTGTACCCATGTCGGGAATCGAACCCGGGTCTTCGGCGTGACGAGCGAACGCTTTAACCACTAGGCTACCCGACCGCCCCTTAGCGACTCTTGACATAACGCGGTCTGGGGATCGAACCACCGACCTTCCGCTGTCCGGGTACACGTTCTACCCACAAGACTACGGGGGGCGGTCGGGTAGCCTAGTGGTTAAAGCGTTCGCTCGTCACGCCGAAGACCCGGGTTCGATTCCCGACATGGGTACAATGTGTGAAGCCCATTTCTGGTGTCCCCCGCCGTGATATTGCTGGAATATTGCTAAAAGTGGCGTAAAACCATACTCACTCACTCACTCACAAGACTACGGAGGCGGTCTCAATATGTCTACTACCGTCTTCAAAGGAGAGCAAATATGCCCTAATCTACCTTTTCTCCAATCTCACAAAAGAGTTAACTTAGCCGCACAGCGGGCGGAGCTTTTGTCAGGTCTCATGTGGGCCGATCACGCCTGCATGCTCGTGCAATTCATCACTTGGCTGGATCTATAACCCACATCTTGGATACAGGCGAGGGATGAACACTCGCTGAGAGTTCAGATGACGTCATACTTGTCCTACATGTAGGTGAGCAAGCAGGGCGCCACGGACATTACGCCTATTCATGTTAAGTATTGATATCCTTAGCAAACGCTGTGAATATTTTATAAAATGTAGCAGTAACCCCGATTCGATTTAAATGCTGTATTGTATTTTGTTTTGCTCATATTTCTAACTATTGACGGTATAAAAAAGTCATATCATACCGAAACCTTGACATAGGACATATTTTGTATAAATACTACTCAACATCTGGTGGGATAATCAGATATGTCATTCTATTTACATATACTCTTATTACATATTAGGAGATACATATCTCCCTATCAAGAGTGGAGCAGTATGTTACACATATCGTGATTTTCATGTTTTGCGAACAGGGTTAAAATTTGAGGATTTACTCTTGTTGTCTGGACGGATTTGTTTAATTTGTTTGTTGCCGCACTCAGCAATATCCTAGCAATAAGACGGCGGTCTGTACATAATTAAGTATGGACCAGACAATCCAGTGATTGACATCATGAGCATCGATCCACGCAGTTGGGATACGATGACATGCATCAACCAAGTCAGCAAGCCTGACTACCCGATCTCGTTAGTCGCCTTTTACAAGCATGGGGGCGGTCGGGTAGCCTAGTGGTTTAAGCGTTCGCTCGTCACGCCGAAGACCCGGGTTCGATTCCCGACATGGGTACAATGTGTGAAGCCCATTTCTGGTGTCCCCCGCCGTGATATTGCTTGAATATTGCTAAAAGCGGCGTAAAACCATACTCACTCACTTACAAGCATGGGTTGCGGAAGACAAATTCTAACCGGGATCGTCACGGATGGACGTATCCATACGGTGAAATAGGCAGTGGCATTATCAAAGAAGCTTGTCTCGCTTTTAGGCCTTCATATAATCATGGGTTCGTGGGTTCGAATCCCAAATTCGCCCTGATCATGGTTCTAGGTTTCTCTGTACCATGGCTATCATCGTGGGTTTCACCAAAGTGGTAAACGTCTGAGACATTCATCACTTAGGGCTCTCCTTCAACATCAAGCTAAAACGCCATGATACAACTGAATTACTGTTCAAAGCGGCGGTTAAACATAACTCACTCACTCCCACAAGAGATGTCGTATTAGGCGAGTAACGGGTTCGGGTGGTCAGGCTCGCTGACTTGGTTGATGCATGTCATCGATTCCAATTGCGTGGATGGATGCTCATGATGTCAATCACTGGATTGTCTGGTTAGGTCCAGACTCGAATATTTACAGACCGCCGTCATATAGCTGGAATATTGCTGAGTGCGGCGTTAAACAACAAACAAACAAACAATCCGAAATTAGCTTTTTAATTGGTGGTTCTTATCGCTTGTTTTATGTCATCACACAAACACCGTTTTGCAAACAAAACATTTAATTTATTTGTTTAAAATATTTAAATGCCGCATTGGCGAATCTCCAACAGATTCAAATATCACTAAAGCTTAAAACGTCAAAGAAATCAAACTCTAAATAAGAGTGTGAACACAGCTACCTTGGTCTTAGGTATATTTTTCCACTTGAAGATGTCAAGTGAATATTCATGATTTCTTTTCAAGATACATGTATGTCGACAGAGTTTTCTCAGATTGTTTCATGAATGTTAACAAGCCTGTTTGATGACAAACTGCGCATGTAGCTTTCAACTCACGTCGCCCCGTCAAGCTTGTTGACAGCTGACTCTTTGAAATCAACAACCCGTCACCTTCCAGCTGTTTGGGTCACGTGACTCATACTTGATGTTCGTGGGAGAATCTTATATATGAGCTTTCTTGACGAACAGGGTACTTGACTGTAATCTCCGAGACATCTTTGTTGAGGGTGTTATCATATATCATGAACACAGTCATATATGTAGCCACATTGGAATTAAACCATTGAAATTGGCGTCAAACTGCCACATACACCTTAGTGTAACGTCACGTCGGCAATCTCATCCATATAGTGACTCGACCAATCTCATTCGTGACAAACTCGTGTTATGCTACTATTCCACACAGACCACGAATCCCACGAATTGATCAATTTTAGGATTCGTAGTTGAATCGTTATCAGTTATCATTCTTAACTGATTCGCATATATTCGTAGTTAGTTCTTACAATTCTTGAGCTATCGGACATTCGTGGCAAAAGTTTTGAGCTGTTCAGAGTTTTGGCCACGAACACCCGATTCAAAAATATCGTAGTTAATTCGTAACAAATTCGTAGTGCATTCTTAGGCATCCTAACTGAATCGTAATCGATTCGTAGGCATTCGTAGGTATTCTGAACACATTCGGGGATTCGTGAATTCGTGGCTTTACGACGAATCGGCTACGAATCTGTCACGAATGCCACGAATACACGCCGAAGGAGGTACGAAGCTATCTTGAGGGTAAACCCCAAAAATTGTCATGAATAGTCACGAATTCATTTTTATTCATACCTGATTCGTACATGCATTCGCCGTATTCTTAACTGATTCCTAACTTTCGTGCAGTATTCGTATTAGCTTCTTGTAAATCTTAGTGAATTCTTGACAATATTCATGCGAATCCAGCCGAATCCCACGAATATTCGTAGCTCTATCGTACCTGCATCGTAACTAGATCGTAGAGCGTCACGAATTGAACCAGAATATTTGCTAAATTCCACGAATCCTCACGAATCACAAATCGTGGCGATTCGTGGGATTCGTGCTCTGTGTGGAATAGTAGCATTATGACCCATTTCACTACGACCACGAATATCCTGAATCACCCCGAATAGGACATTTTTCATGTTCGTAGATAAATCTCAATCATTTCTTGAAGTTCTTAAATGAATCTTATTTGATTCCCAAACATTCGTACAGTTCGCGGGAGTTCGTCGAATCGACGAAAATGTTTTTGTTTGTCACGGGTCCCCGAATTGCAATTTCGTGGCTGTATCGTAATCTATTCGTTATTAATTCTTATGTTCCGTAACAGCTTCGTAATCGATTCTTTTGCATTCTTGGCTACTCTAAGCGATTCGTGGCTCCCAAAATTTCTTGTCCTCAACCCGAAAACATCCCGAAACAGCCAAGAATGTCCCGAGTCAACTACGAATCATGTAAGAATTAAGTTACATTCTGCACAATCGTAACTTAGTCGTAGGTGATTCTTACTATTCGTGCATGATCCGTACATGAATCTTGTAATTTGTACATGTTTCTTAACCCATTCCTGGCATTCTTCATATTTTTCAACCCGATTAGCCACGAAAGTTTGCATTATTGGCATAATCGTCACGAATTTCGAAAGTTTTCGATTCGGGGTGATTCGGGATATTCGTGGTCGTAGTGAAAGGGGGCATTATTATTCCGGGACAAGCCAAATGGCGACTCGTGCCCCTCTCATGGCCATTATTGCAAACGGGCATACCTACAACAATTGTTAACTCGTTACGTAATGGTTCACATATCTTTCCTCACATATTATATATATTTCAGATGCAACTTAAAGCACATCGGGATATGCGGAATTATACAGTATGACTGAATACATTTAACTGTATCTTGGGTATATTTTTAGATGCAAGACATATGTAAAACCAAAAAGT